GAGCTGCAGAGGTCTTCACTTGAGAGTCTGGTGAAGCAATTAAAGCTCCAAGAGTAGCTTGGAGATTTACTAGGATGCAGCATGTTGCGGTGGTTTGTTAAAGTGATTTCCATTTGGCTAACATTTGATGGGTGAGTCAGAGGTAACTTTTGAAGAGAAGGTAGTGGGGAAATGGGTCTTGAATAAATCTTATCTTAGAGCAGAGGACCATGCAAGTGGTGCCTTCCAAGAATGTCAGAACGTGAGCTTGCCTCCCCTCTCCCCGTGGGTGCGACAGGACCATATTTCTCGGATGGAACGACTCACTTGTCTTCTTTCGGGAAGGATTAGATTTTGACATAAGATTCTGACTCTGACATCCTTTCAAGACATCCTCTGAATCTAACCCTAGTTCTCTGGACAAAGCCTCTTGTTTTATTCAGAATTCTCAAAGCCAAAGATGATGTCATATAGTTTTAAAAGGCTCCAGTTCCTGGAGTACTACCAGGAAAAAAAGTCATCTTCCTTGAATTCAGTCCACCCTCAAGGTGTCCTGAGAAAGAGGCTGTTTCTCAGAGCAACCCAGGCAGACGCTCCTTTGACTTCCTATTTCCTACACATCCTTAAACCATGGAAGCACAGAGGACCTACAAGAGTCCTGATTGCTGTTTCCAGACCAGACTGTAAAAATACTAAGATCACTTCATCCCCGCAACTTCAAAGGGAGAGAAATCAAGGCCCCAAGCTTGTGTCTTGGGTTAAAATAATTTTCCAGTTTTTTTTGTTTGTTTGCTTGTTGTTTTTTTTTGTTTGTTTGTTTTAAATGACAGGATAGTTTCATCAAGTGAAATCATGGAAGGGACAGATTTTTTCCCAGTCCCTGGACCCATTTTCTTGGCCAGCATTGGCATCATGAAGAGTTAGTTTTAGGCCACGTTTACAACACCACCTGCATCCTTAATGAGCAGTTTGGAAACCACTATATTCATAAGCAATAAAAACTTTATGAATGTAATAGGAGTAGAAGGATTTTCTCAGAGTTTCTTGGGACTTACCACACTGGGGAAGTAACTGTCAAGTGTCTTTGAAAGGAGATGAAGTTTCACACACAGTTAGATTGGTGTGTTTTTCTTGGGTGTGGCCTGCTCAGTTTTTCATATTGTTTTAAGGCTAATTTTATGAGGTTATGTTTCCTGCTAAATTATGAGCCCTTGAAATCAATGACATCTCTTTCTTTTCCTCTCCCTACATTCAACCCTTCATTTCTCCTCACTCCCCCGCCCCCCCCCCCCCCTGCCTCTGTACCTGGCAGGGGAGACAGGTTGATGTCATGAGTCCCTGTCACTTAAAGGAAGACCTTAAAGGAGATGATAGGAGAAGATAATCCAAGAGAAATAATGACTTAGATGAATTTGGCCATTTTCCTTAGCAAACAAAGAGCCAGAAGTTCTTTATACTCCTAAAAACCTCAAATAATATGAGGTCAGGTTGAAACATGAACATGACTGGGAGACCTGATGTTGTCATGGGAGGTAATCAAAGTAACCCCAGGCTGGAGCTGACTTTCTAGCTTGATGAGGGGGAGCTAGACAGCAGGAGGCAGATAGTGCTTCTGCCCCAAATGGGGCTTTAAAGCTAATGCAAACTCAGAGAGGACATTGAACAATGGAATAAAAACCCTAAGGAACTGCATCATCAGGCATGAAGAGAGCATATTACAACAGAAAGCACATTTATACCACTGCGAGCACAATGCCCAGTAGCTGGGCCAGGATGAGTTCTCATGGTCTTTCCTCACTCCTTACTGGCCTCTGAGACCCACTGGGGGGGTCTCTCTATTTAGACAATTGGGAAGTTTAGACATTTCCTACTTTAGAGCTCATGTCAGTGTTTGAATTAAAAACACATCTGGGCACAAAAAATAGAGATGTGTACCCAGGAGAACTATGTACTTAAAAGCATTTAGCAGTTGGAAAGAGCACATTTTATGACTTTCCTGTGGAAAGAAAATATCTCAAAATGGACTGATTCATCCAGGCCAGCCAGTGGAAGCTCAGTAAACAGAGAGACCACTTCCTTGAAGGCCCATCCCTGTCTTTGCTCCAGATGAACCCTCACTGATAAAAACTGAATTTAAACCCCAAAACCTGCTTGAAGGGGGCTAACACAGACCCCTAGCCAGCTGCACATGGCTTATTAAGGATGAGAGGTGCTGGATGCTGGCTTCCTGCTGCCAGTTTCAACCCTAGTGCAAGGAAGGAGTCCCCCATCTCCCTTTTTGATAATTCAATATTTATTCTTAAAGAAGTTTTGTCATTTCTGTGATAGGCAAGTGTTGGAAAGGGTCTTCTGTAGTCTAGATGCTAGGTTGTGGGAGGAACCATGGTCTGTTTCCACATCTAAAACATTCCTATCACCAGTAGCCTCCTAGCCATTACATTTTTACAATCTGTATTCTTATGTTTATATAGTTGGTGATTTGTTTAGTTTTGGTGGCTCCTACCAGGATACAGCTATCATGGGTGTTGGGTTTTTCATTGTTGCATCTCAGCTGCTAGCACAGTATCTAACAAACAGAAGATGGTCAATAAATGTTTAGTGAATGTATGGATATGTGAATGAAGTCCCATATGATTGGGACTTATCCATGACTCAGTGGTGAACATTTTAAAGAACTTCTATTCTAACTAGATACACAGTGGTCAGGATGGATGGAATCATAGTTTTACTTAATATTTAAGAAAGCAAACTCTCACACTAGTCATCCCACCCACCCCATAGATTCTTGCTGACTTTTTTGCTATGCTATTTTCCCAACTCACAAGAGATCCAAAGCTCAAATTCAAGAATTTGTAGTGGATACTGTGCTTTCCAAATATGTTATCTGCTTGATTTGTTCAATTGCAAAAACCCTCAGGTTCTGTGTTGTCCCCACTGCTGCATGAGTGGGTTATTCATCAGGTCATTATGATATGAGGGCTGCTTTGATATGATGGGGAAAAGTTTGCTCTTGGGGCCCTAAGACATGGGTAGGATTCCTGGCATTGTCCTTCTGCTGCTGTGTGTTCTTGAGCAAGACAGGCAGCCTCTCTGATTCTTGCTTCCTCATCTGTGAATGAGATTCCTATCATCTGCCTCATAGTCTGATAGGGCATTAAATAATATCATGGATGTTAAAAGTGTAAAATATGAAATACAGTACACAAAGAGATAAAAAGAATGATGAGTGATAGTTTCTTCTGAAGTGATTGCAGGGACATAATAGACTGTTTTCTGCTGTGCTCCCCAGGGCAAAAACCCCTCCTGAGTGAGGAGAATATGGAGGTGTGTTTCACGGGGTCTCTAAGGGCTATCAGGAATAGCATAGACACTTGGGAGGGGATTCTATTTCTTCTTCCTTGATACAGACATTCCAAATAGATCAGCCTGAAATTGTGTTTCTTAAAAGGTTGAAGAAAGATTGTAATTAAATATAAAATAATTACCAAAATAAGTATTTTCAGTGTTTTGAAAGAGGTGTGAAGCCATTTGTTATAATATAAAACTAAGCTACAAATAAAGGAGGATTTTATTTTCAGTTATTCCTGCTCGTTGATGTAAGATGTGATTCTAATGAGAACTATTGAAGCAAATTGGCTCAAGAATGCTTCCTGGAAAAAATGAGCAGTGCAAAACTCACATTGTCTTGAGGTCCTACTTGGACCTGTTGAGAAGGGTTGATGGAAATGAGCGGGTTCCTTCTATTTGAAATGGAAAAGCCATCATAAGCTATCATAATTTTAAACACCCTCTTTTCTACCTTTGAACATAATTAAGAATCCCTGGTTGCAAATTGAAGTGTTTCCCTCCTCCCCCCAGATCGCTGCCTTTAGCCCTTAAGTGAACTCTGCTGGCAACTCAGTGGGTATTTTTTCAAAAAAAAAAAAAAAAAAAAAAAAAAAACCCTACTTTGATTGTATTAAATGCCACTGGCACCTTCAGCATGCCCTGCCCCCAGCACATTCCAGTAACAAAGTTTTCCTGTAACTCTGTATAGAATGTTCACTGGGACCTTATAACTTGTGCTGTCTTCCTAGTTTCAAGGAAACACTAGACTTGCTAGGATGTAGTAAATGATGTGGTTTCCCAAATTAATCATTTGCCAGATCATGCATCTGTTATTTTGTAGTATTGTAGTATCTGAATTTATGTACAAAAATAAAATTAAAGGAAAAAAATGAAAACAAAGCCATAGTGTGCCATACAGCTGTTTGTTTTTATTCACCCAACTCAATAACATACACAAATCACATTTGAACTTTGAAATATGTTAGTTTTCATAGGATTTGATCAACAGCCCATTTTCCTGACCTAAGTGAATAAAAATAATGAGCTTGTGACAGGCACACTTTCAGGTTTCGGTTTTGTGTGGTGCTTAGAGGAGCTGGCATAAATATAGCCTGAGATGACTGTAAATTCCATAACCAACTTACTCATTTTAATGAATTTGTAGCATAATTTTATTTAGTGTTAGAAGTAGACAAAATATCACATAGTTCAAAAATCAGATGGGACAAAATCCTCTTTGGTAAAGAGTCTCTCTACCTAGGTCCTTGGCCACCCATTCCCACACCCCTCAAGCAACCAGTGCTTGTTCTCATTCATTTAAACAGATGAGCTAAGATATGCTTTAGCTTAAACTTTATTTTATTTTGAGGCTTTATCACATGATATAAAAGAACAGAGTTTGAGACCTCGGGGGCAAATAACTACATGACTGTCAAGGGAGATGTGTCAGTTGAAATGCACTGAGGATGACAAAATATACAGCCCAAAACAAAACCCCATTTTGATGGTGAAACAAAGCACTGAAAGTGAGCTCTCGCTTTAATACCGTCAGTTTCCCCATATACTATTTGGCCTTCTCTGTTTCTGGGTTTCCAGAACAGCCTGTACTCTCCTGGCTGTTGCATATGTATTAAAGCCTGGCACTGTGAGTCTCCTATGATGCAAGATTGAATTTCCCATTGCCGTTTTTTCAGATAACAGCCCGCCGTCAATGGAAACATATTTATGATGAATTAGGCGGTAATCCTGGGAGCACGAGCGCTGCCACTTGCACCCGTCGACATTATGAAAGGTAAGATGCCCTTTCTTGGAAAGTCCTTGCATAATTCAAAGTGTGTTCATTGGAAGACGCTTCCATCAAGGATGTACAAGAGGAAACAGAAAGTACCCCTCTAGCATTTTGCTCTGCGTACTGCCTTGTGATTTTTAAGGAACATGGCTTTCTTTGGTGGCTGGATCTAAAATTAGATGTTCTTTCAGTTTGGTTTATCCCATGACCACCTGCCTAACATGCCTTTTCTCCCCCATGAGCATAAATTACCCAGTCTGTTTTCTGTAGGTTCATTTACTATGAGAAGCTTCAACTTTAGGAAAACACAGGTCTGCAATGTGACTGTGAAGTTGCCATGTAACTGTATTATCTTTGCAAAGTACGCATTTCTTTAATAAGAAAATTGGCCCCAGATAAGATCTGCTGTTTTTCCCATGTTGGTATTTTTCTTTTATGGCAATGCTTTTGACCCAAGAAATCTTGCCAAGTTCTGTGTGGTTTAGTTTTCTAACAATTTCATCTTTCTTCAGAAAGTGGTAATAATGCAAACAAGAAAGAATGTCCAGTTTCGCTACTATGAAACTTGTATTTGTAGGAATATTTCCCTTTTGCGTTTGGACTACTTTACCCACACTGCTGGCAAATTCATGCATTATTCTTGTTCTGAGATTCAAGCCTGTACTTTAAGTTGTAGCAACTTCCTTATCACTGGCATTTCCTTGATGAAGTGTTGACTGACTCTTCTCCTTGGTTTTAAATTCAGAGCTTGTGAGAATGAAGCAAGAGAGAGAGAGAAAGTGTGTGTGTGTGTGTGTGTGTGTGTGTGTGTGTGTGTGTGTGTATACAATGATCGTGGGTGGAATGAAGTCAAAGCACAGTGAGCTGAACAAACCAGGTGGTTAACTTACCAGATTGAGAGGTGAAATACAACAGCTGAATTTATTGCTTGCTCTTCACATACTCAGTTACTGTTCCAACTTCAACCAGATGCTTAATACCCACCTTGGAATCAAACAGATGAGTCTTCAGATAATGACATCAACTCTGAGTTGTATTTCTTTTGAGTTCAATTATCCTTTTATCTGTATTGCACTTAAATACAGAGCCTCTTTTAGTACAGCCATTCAAAAAAACTTCGAATGTTTTTGTAGGTATAAGCATGGTAAACTGAGCTGGGTTTAGTACCTCATTAAAAATTCCCACAAAGTATTCCCAAATGATTGTCTTACTTGACTGTGTTATAATCCAGAGGATTTATAAAAATTGGTAACAAGAGTTCAAATTATTACTCTTCATAGTGTTTTCAATATAGTGTGAAAGATTTTTAAATGTGTTATTTTTCTCAGAGTTTAATACAGAAATCCACATTCTCACTGCACGTAACAGGTACACAGGTACACACTGGTGTTCCAGTAAAGAGTAGCAGTGGGACCTCAGGTTATGTTCTGTAAATAGCACCTAAGGATGCCAGAGTCAGCTTGTTTTTGACATACAATCAAAGCCTTAATCAGAACATTTTCATTAGAAACACCGTCTCTGTGGTCAAATAGCTTGTATTCTGATTGTGAATCTCCCTCACTCAGTATGTAAATGTCCCCAAAATGTGAACCATCACAATTAAAGGACCAGATAGCATTTAAATTTGAAAATTTTTACTTTATGAAAAAATTGATTGTATCTCAGCTGCTAGGTAGCTCACCTTGTTAATGAGTGAAAATTAATCAAATGTATTACAAATCATTGCATCATCAAAACACAAATAGGCCAGGTTTGGGATGGAAAAAGGATTGAATCTAAAAGATGTGTGTGTGTGTGTGTGTGTGTGTGTGTGTGTGTGTATGTGTTTTGAATTTATTCAAACAGTGGTCAGGATAAAATAACCTTTGTCTTAAATGAACTGCCAATATATATTTTCTTGAAGATTATGGACTTTGTTTCATGATTTACCTCCTCCTAGAGTAGCAAAATCCCAAAGGCTTTCAGCCAGTCAAATTGGAAATTTCTAGTAGAGCTGTCTCAAACTTCAGCAACTAAGAAACATCATTAAAGATTTTTTAAAATTTCTTTTCTACTCATTTTGGGGAGCAGACTGGATATACATAAAGATTGAGTATGTCTCACTGTATTAAAATTTTTTGAAAAGCTGTCGCATTTACTCTTCCAAATCTAGGAATTGTCTGGGCAGTCAGGTTCCAGTAAGGAAAATAAAAACCACACTATGCATTCAACAAAGAGAATGGATTAGAGGAAATTGCTAAATAAGTGCTGGTATGAAATACTGTTCATATGGAGGTAATAATCAGAGTTTCCCTAGGGTTGAGGGAATAGAGAGAAGGGGTTGGAATAAAGTTTGGAGAGTAGGCTTCAAAGAGTTGGGCTAGAGTTCAGATCCTTTCCAGGGAGAGGCACTCAACTAGCACAATCCTTCAGGAGCTTGGAGGAGGAGCACTGTTTTGCTGGGCTCAGACTAGAGAAGGCTGTGCTCTCTGGCTGGCGTTAGACCTCAGAGGACTGTTGAGAGAAGCTAAAGGCTAGAAGCAACTGCAGCTGCTAGGTGAGTGTCGAGCTGCATTGAAATGAACAGCAAGTAAAATGCAAAAAGGAGGTCCCTTCTCCCCTCTCACAGCGTGCTGGGGTCCCATTTACAGAACCTCAGTAGGAGGATAACTAACAAAAGAGACATGTAATGTGCAGAGTCCCAATCCCAGCATCACTGTGAAGAGCTCAGAGGGTGAACTTGGAGTTGAGAGACAGTCATTTACTGCCAGTGGGACTCCTAAGATGGAAATCCTTGCCCAAAGCCTGAAACCCACATGAGTGCACAAGTGTTCCAGGGTCATTAGCAAGGTACTAACTCTTCCTTGGCATTTCCTTTTGCCATGAAGGTATTTCTATGTTTTTGTGGCCAGGTCATTAAACATGCCAATGGTTGCAGATGATCGATTTTTTAAATCAGATTATATGTGCGGTGGTGGGAGAAGAGCTTGGGATCTACAACTTTAGAGATCTTACTACTTCTTGATGTATCCACCAGAGAAGGGCTTGGGACAACCTGAAACGTCCAGGAACTTGAACTATTTCTCCTTTGGTTAAAGAAGTTGTGAAGCTCTTGGCTAAAGTTGTTTTTAGTGATTCTGGCAGATTTCATTCATTCTGGCTAGGTGCAAGTTCTGCTAACCCAATTCAGAGATTACTAGGTTGATCAAGGGCCACGTTTTCATGAAAGTTCCTGTTGTTGAGAAGGATCAGGGTGTTATGGGCAAACCTCTAATCCGGACATATCCTTGGAAATTGTTAAAGCTTTCCAAAGCAGATCAGGATGACTGGGGGTCCTTCTCTGCTGCCCGTTCATCTGGTCACTAATCCTTTTCACTCTAGTGAAACTTGGTTCTTTGCCTATTTCCCTCCCACCAGCTTTGCTTTCCTAGAAGATGAAGAAGAAGAAATGAATGATCTACTCTGCATTATACACTGATTTATTTTTCATGCAGTGTGGTTCATGTTTCCAGTAAATGTTTTCATTTTCCAACAAGAAAAAGTCGCTGGTTCCTTAGTAAATGTTACTTGTATATTAGTTGGGCACTTTTGGTTTATTAATGAGTGTAATAATGAAAGCGCGGGTTGTGGAAAAGAATCAATGGGTGTTTTTATTTAAGGCATAGCAGAAATGGTACAATGCCTGTGAATGCATCATTGTCGCTGAAGGCCTGACTCGCCCAAACTTGCCTCTGATTGGTTTAAATCAAATAGGTCCAAGCACTTCATAAAAATGTCTTTGTCAGCCTGGTTCTGCTTCTAAACCTATTCATCTCTGTCAGTGTTTAATATTAGTACCAGGCTCCTGGCCATAGTCCATTAGTACTGTACTTAATTGCTCATGTTACAGATGATCACCAATATAAAAAGCATTAATGTTTCCCCATCATGAGACTGTTGCCATATAGATGTCTCAGCCTCAACAAAGCTTATGAAGTGTGGTTATTCTAGATATTTCTGGCTCAGGATTTATAGATAAAGTTAGAGTAGATTAGAATGCCAAAATAAAAATGCCCATCTCCTCCTGGACAAGACCCTTCTAAAGGAGACATTTTCTTTCTTGTCCAGCTCTGTTTAAGGTGCTTGATCAAAGGTGATAAAAGGTACCTTTTATCAGTAAAGAAACAAAATAGTTACTTTCATAGAATTCTCTTAGCTTGATTTTCTGGAATGGCGATTCACTTTAAAGGCTTTGTCTTTACATGCAGATTTGTTTTCTTTAAAAAAAAATGTTTTTTAAGTACATGCAGGAGGGAAAAAAAATCTTTACACAGAATACCAGATTACTGGTTTTAATTTTCCTGAATAAATTAACTGGTCTGTTTCTGTGGAGCACATGAATTTGTTATTAAGGATTTTAAAAGAAGCATTAAGGCAAAAGTACTTTATGATGTGCTTTTTTGAGAATTTAGAAAATCAAAATCATAAACAAATGGATTTGTTTGCGGGGAAATGAGCAATTACCCTTTATCTTCTCGTATACTTGATGCCCAATAGCAAATTCTAGCCTTTTGCTTTTCCCATAATCATTCCTTGTGTCATGCCACATGACTGAGGCTCCTTCTTTGCCACAACTTGGAATGGAGTGTACCTAAGCCAGATGCATTTGGGCAGAACCCTAGTGACAGTCAGCTGGAACTTCAGTCTCTTTTTTTTTCTGCAGTGGAAGGTAGGGTGTGGGAAGTTCATGTTTTGAGTAAGATTAAGTATGTGCTTTAAGGTAAATGCCAAAAATATATCAGGTTCTGAGGAATTCAACTAATATTGTAGAAAAGTGAGGAGAGCTACAGTTCTGTTCATGCCCAGGACAAGATTTGGTTTATTCTTGCTCCTTTTGATATCCTTGAAGTCAATACATAATTCAGAATGTCACAGGCAGGATCTCAGCCTGTTAGAATTGAGAGTTCTTCAACGAATCCTCCTGACCATTGCTATTAGATGAGGTTTTCTGACCCATCTGTGAACTGTTTGCTGCTGGCCTGTGA